TTCTCACTTGAGGTACCAATGAGCAGGTTCAAATTATCACAATATGCACACATGACACGAAGATCTAGCTCTCTGGAAAAGTCTATAATGACTGACAAACGAGGTGGATGGACTGAAGTGCAATGGCAACCAATTCACAATTGGAAAACCTAAAGGACAAAGCTGAGGACAGATCCACCTAGAAAAATTCTATTTTGTCTGATTGCTAAGAGTCAACACAAGCCTGATGGTACATGAGCAATCATCAGGGCTCACATACATTATATACACATAACTGAGGCTAGATGAAAAAATACTGTCATGTAAGGGAACTATAGTGATTTGTCTTTTTATACCTGTGAACATCCTTTTTCAAAATTCTGTAGGTGTATATCCCAAAAATATCTAAAATATGGCAGTAAATATAGGCCAGTGTGATTAATAGTTAAAAGATTGGAGTGTGGTGGTTCAAATTCTACACCACGTTCAGCCATGAAGCTCACTGGGTAAGTAAGGACTAGTCATTTTCTTCAGCTCAACAAACTCTCCAAGTGTTGGCTGTAGGAGAAAAATAACTTATCCGAGCTTTCTTATGTGCATATATTAGAAACAAAGATAGAATACTAGTAGTAATAGAAATTCTAGCTACTAAGCTCCTATTGTCTTGGCAGGTATTTTTATAGTTTATATGTTTGATGAGTAAGTGGCATTTGGGCAACTCACTGCCAGAATTCTGTGAAAGATCAGGATCAGCAGCAATTTTTAATCTAAAATATGCGATCCTTGGAATACACAATTACTTGATCCAGGGAATCTTTGTTTGATGTCAAAACAGAGAGCAGATATTATTTAATGATAATATAAGTACAAAAGGCCTCTTGTGCTTGGCTAGATTGTACTGAAAGTATGGGCTTTAGACTAGGATGAATTATGTCGTCTCTAGAAAAGTATATTTCCTCATACATTGGGCCCAAAGTAAAAATTTTTGATATCATATGCATCTATTTTTATGCATAAAGAAGTCATGTATAGATTCACATATAGGCAACACTATTTTCTCTTCAGGAGGCTCCTAGCATTATAAATATTTATTTATCTAGTATAAAACACAAAATAATATTTGGTTTATTTGGCATGATGGCCCAGGGCTTGCCTGCTGATGATGGCTCAAGCTGTACAGGATGGTTTAGCACAGCTTGGCTTTTCCGTGTCTTCCAGTGTCTTATCACAGGATATTAAAGATTCTTGCAGAAATTGATCTTCTCATACTATCATTTCTATGGATACAATGAAAAGGATAACTGAGATTTTCCACATTGTAGCAGGGCATCTGCCATGCCAACAAATTATTGGGATCAAGCATCCTATTAGTCTGTACTTCTAAAACCATGGCAGGTGCTGTGAGCGCCTGTTGTCAGGCCTACTTATTTAGTTCAAAGACTTGGAATTTGTTGGTGAAAGATTGTTTGACATGAAAGATGTCAAAAGTGTCAGCTAGTTGTAGATTATTGTTTATAATTGTAAAATGTATCTTGCTTAGAGTGCATATTTAATTTTTGGGTTCATTTATATTAACATTCATATAGCAGGAGAAAATCTCAAGTAAATGTCTTAAATGTCTCTGTGACATCAAGAGTTATTGAAGCATAAAGGATGGGGAATTAGAGTGGCTGCAAGTGTAGCACACAAATCATGAAAGCATACACAAGCCCTTACTTTGAAAACTCCAGTCAAATAATTGCTACATATGTATTAATAAAGTTGAGATCCATAAGTCTAATAATCTCTGTCTTAAACATTTCTGGGAATTGATGTTTCTTGCAACATACCTTATTTTCAGGGATACTGTGAAGAGCGGGATAGAAATTTATCTTATTTGGAGGAAACTCTGTACACCAAAATGTAGTTAACTGGGAATTGCTGCTGAAGATGGATTGTTAGTTGGCTCTGACCTCAGGGCTCTATTATATCAATGAGAACATGGCTTACTCAAAGGCTTTACCATGAATAGACTATTAATTTACTTCACACACCCTCTTGATGAGTCAGAAAAGTGAGTGTGATGGCTCTCGATGGTGGTCCCTAATGCATCACAAGTGTTTTGA